AGCAGTCCGACCAAAGATGAATTTTCTGACATTGTCCCAATTTTGTCCGAAAGTCAGCTCAGATGTTTCGAACTGCTCCCAACATATCCGGAATATGAACGTTTGCCTGAACTCTTCCGCAATCTCAAAAAACGTTTTTTGGTTCTCATGTTCGAAACTAGGGTTGTTAAAAATATCAAAAATTAGCGTTTTGAAGACACCATGGTGTCTTATAATTTTCCCTTCCTTATTGGCGTGTAGAAATAAATGCGCCAATAGATTGAAGAAGAAGAATTGTTTTTCTCTTAAGGATACCCTTACGTGTCAGATTTTTTGCGCATACGAAGAAGTCATGCTAGACATGAGCTATAAACCTGAAATTTTAGCAACATATTTAAAACTTTTTAAACTACAATACACTTTAATATTCAAGAACAAAAATATTCTTTTTAGAAATTACATAATTATTTTATGTGAAATCTATATAAAAACATATTTTGCGAGCGTAACTTTTTTCTTTATAAGCACCTTATATGACTGATAAACTGTGAAGGCACATAATTGTTAATTCATAGAGTTGATATGTTTCCAAAATTGAGAGGAAATTTGAAAATTGAATACCCTTTCAATTCAATTTTCAAAAGATATCAGCTCCTTCAATAATTGAAGGACGATTTTGATCATTTGCTCTTAAAACAAGTATGCCATGGAGAAAAAAGTTACGCTCGCAAATCTGAAATATAACTATCATATAAAAAAATTAAATTTCTAATTTTTTACTCTATAGATATTATTGGCCACTTGTGTAATGCATAAAAGTTTATGTCATATGCATACATTTGGAAGTATGGGAGACGAGGGAAATTACTTCTATGAGGCACTAGGATTTTTAAAAATTTCTCTATCGGACTCACCATTCAATTTCTCGAAAATTAAAAAAAATCAATAATAGCTAAAATGTATTATGCATAACAAATTTTAATGTTACACGGTATTTTTTGAACTTCATGACATGAATTTTCTTTATATTATTTTTTTTTTTTTGGATTTTCTATGATTTATGCGATAGGCTGGAACAACATTGTAAGTGCAATGATATCATTTATAGAGAAATCTAAAATTTCAGCATTCAGAACTCGCAACCACAAAAATATTCATTTGCTAAGTAAGTAAAGTTGATTAAGTTCGACACTTAGCTTTTATACGTAAAACCAAGTGTGTATTGTTATTTCTTGTTAAATTATTGAGAAAAAAATAAATTGTAAGAGAAACGATACTGATTATTGAAATAATATTGAGGGTAGCTGCAGATTTCTTCATTAACATGCCGGAAATTTGTTAATCTTGGTTTTCTATCATAAAATCTGTCGAAGAATCTAAAAACGGAGATATGAAATAGAGATCATGTAAATCTAGAGTATCCTGTCAGAAAAATAGACTAAGCATGTAACCCTTTTTTGGTCATAAACACTTTTTACCACTTAGTCATACAGATGATCATTAAATTTAAACGAGCACTTTTTGTCAGAATTTATTCTTTTACAAAGACAGAAGATTTTAGTATTATTTAATATTAGTGCTGTAGCAAAATTCAAAAAACGGTGAAAATTCAGTGAATTTGTGAATTCACATTTTTTTCGACATTTTTCTTGATATATCCATGCACATTAAGAACACAGCTTTGATACGCTTAAAAAAGCATATTTCATATGAAATTGTTAAAGAAATAAACAATTTATATAAAAATTGCACTTATGGGCAGTTTAGATATATAATTTATATATAACATATATACAAATCCATAGACAAAGTGCAATAACTACAATGTTGTAGAAATTACAGCAGAAATACTGACTTTTTGAAGGATAATAAGAATTCTTCTAAATGTTGTATTTTTATAATTTGATTGATTTTTTTACTATTTCATTAATCTTTTATGAATAATAATTATTTTTAATATATGTGCTATTAAAATTTCAAATTTTGACTAATATATCTAAGTTATCTGAACGAAACATTTAGAAAATATCATACTTACATTGAAATAGCAAGTAGAGCATATTAATAGCAAGTTTCTTGGCTTTATATCTATCATCTATTGTTGTTTGATCAAACAAAATTCACTCTATTATATGGTGTCAATTAATTAAAACAATTTTTAATAGTTATTTATTTAGTGCGAATAAGTGCAAACTCATAAATGAATAACTTAATAGTAGAAATGAATTATCTGATATAAATCTCACATTTTGTCCATCAGAAATACTTTAATTGCATACGCATAACTATTAGTAATACGTCTGGAGTGTCAATTAATAACAATCCCACAACAAGTAAAATTCAGATTTTTATTAAACTTATTTTTTCCTAAAAGTTTTCTCAAATTACTATATATACATATGTGGATAAAATAATAGTAATATTGTATAAAATTAGATAATTTTTTTTATTTGAGAACCTCTCAAAAGTTCATTCAATTTATCAATTGTTTCAGTTTGATGTATATTCATTTCTGGAGCCTAAAACTTTAGCAATCATGACAATATCATATTCTCTTTCTAACTACGCAATGTAAGGGTATCCTTAATGAACTTTAATCCTTTTGATATAAGAATATTAAAAACATTAATATAATTTCGATTTCGGAAATTAAATTTCCAAATTTTTTGTCGATTTCGGAAATAACAGGATCCCGCATCCAACACGCAACAACAAAACACAAAACACACTTTTTGGTTCTTTCATCGTTTTAATCGTAATTTATGTAATACATGATTTGGATAAATTTTACAAAAATAGAACCTATATTATATTCTTTTCAAAGATTCTTGCAAATCATCAAAAATAATTGTATTTTAAAAAACGATCAAATTATCCTTTCATTATTTTAAACTTAAATTAGTTTTTATGATTGACTAAAGCAATCATATTTATTCATCATTAAATAAACAAAAAAATAATATTTGAGAGTTATTTCAAAAAAAACACATTGAATTTATTAATTTGTCTCAATTTCAGTATTATAAATTTTTATAATTTCAATATTTTGAAATACACTTTTTAATATTTCAATATTTATGATATTTCAATGTATTAAGTGGTCTCAAATTGAGCTTCTCAAATATAAGTTGGCCTATTCAAATAATAAAATTAAATAATATTTAAAATAATAAATAAAAGTGATTGAGGTCATAGCAAAACGGCTGTTTCAGTCATTAATTCTTAAAAATAAAAAGGGTAAAAACTAAATACAATGGGTAAAATTCAATAGTGTCTGTGCTATCGTTCAATTTGAAGGTGTCTTTTGAAACCGCAAGACACATTGAATTTTTGAATAGTGTATTATGGTTTGACAGACACCAATGAAAAAAATAAAATGATATTTATTTTAAATATATAAGATCCTTATATAAAATATAAATATTTTATCGTTTTATTTTCTTGTTTTAGAAATGTTTTTTATTGAAAAATCAATAAAACTAACTCCAAAATAAAATTTTTGATTTAAAGACACTATGATGACACCAGGCAAATCTTCCAAGACACCTATCGTCGGGAATCTAACAACCCTATTCGAAACTTTTATCGGAAGAGACAACAAACGTTCAGAAGAAGAACAAGATATTATTTTAAACTTGTTGTATGACTTAACCGTCATAACAAGCTTTTTGAAGTAAAACCGTCATTCTCAAACCACTTCATTTTTTCGATGTCCGAACAAGCACCGAAGCCAAACTCAATGGAAGATGTCCTTTCAATGTTGCCAGACAAGCGCCCAGTTCAAATTCAAATTTTGAATTTGAAAGCTCATCTGACAAACACCGTTAAGACTCTCCAAAGTAGTCTTATGGAAGAGATGAAGGGACTTAAAGGTGAGTTCCTCATGAACCAAGCTTCCAATGAGAAAGTCCTGAACGATTTGACGGAAACCTTGCGCATTTACGCGAGAGAGAACCGAGACCTTGCCAGACTCATCTACCGTTTCTTCGAAGAGATAGACGCCATCTGGAAGGTACTCGGAAAGGACAGAACATGCAACACCGTACTTCGTGAGTACCAAATTGAAGAAGGAATTGTCGAGGAAGAAGAGGAAGAAGAGGAAGAAGAGAAACACGAAGAAGAGAAACACGAAGAAAAGGAAGTTTGGGCAACCCTTGTTGCCGATGACGCTTACGAAATTTCACAACCCTACCCATACAAAATCCGCAACAAGGAGACAGGCAAGGTTCTTACCCCAGTCCTCAACAACTTGGGACACTTGAACTTTACCCTTCGGAATTACGGTACAATTTCCATGGGAAGGCTTGTCGGTATGCAATGGGTTCCAAATCCAAACAAGAAGACGAGGGTCAGACACATTGACGGTGACAAGCTCAACAACCGTAAGGAGAACCTCGAGTGGTTCTAAGAGTAAAAAAAATTTTATTTTAGGGGGAAACCCCGAGTAAATTTAAGTTTTTAGTTGCGTAAGCGGCTTAAATTAAGGATAATTTGGACAAGTAGTTCCTGACCTCTGAATAGGACTCTTTCGTCATCCCAGTTGCGTAGGAGGTCGTCCCAGAGGAGTTGGTAGAATTGCCAATCCAAGGACGATTTGTCCTCCCAGGCATTGAGGATGTACTGCTCGTAGAGTTTCATGACCTCTGCCTTGCACCAGACACCCTCTCCCTTGGAACGTAAGGCTTCTTCGAAGTGCTCGAATGCGATTGGCTGCTTGACCATCCGAAATGACACTTTTTGTCCGTTTGGTCAATGTTCGTGTCTCGTGCCATAGTCGACGAAAATACAGACAAACAGGTTATATATGAGTTTGAGACCAAGAATGGTGTAACTCGACTTGTCCGATTCAAAGACTCCGAGGGCGACCATGAAATTAAACGGAAATTACCTAGGAAGGAATATAAAATGGACTGGTTGCCACCACCTCCACCTCCACCACCTTTACCTGTTCCTCAAGTAAATAAGCCTTTCCCGTTCCCAAGAATTCCCACATTTTAATTCAAATTCGAATAAAAACGTTTTTATTTCATGCAATGTTTTATTTCTGTGCCGTCTTCAAGTATGCCCCAGTACTTACGCTTGGAGAGGACATGAACTTCGGTGAAAATTTTGTCCAATTTGAATTGACCCATCTTCTCACCGACTAAACCCATTTCAATGAGTTTGTTATAGCCTTCTTCGTTCGTCATGAGTGCGTCAATGTTCTCATAGTAAACCACAACTTTGGATTTGACTTCGGAGAAGAATTTGTTGTAGTTGTCAAGGACTGCCTTTGCGAACTGAGGGTAAGACCAATGTTCGACAATAGGTTTTACTGTGGTTACTGAGCCACATTGACCTTCGGTGAACTCGTATTTCAAAACAAAAGGAGAAAACCTTTCAACAAAGTTGTCGACCTTCTCATAATGTTTACTCTTCATCTCTTGAGGTTTTTTAATGGAATATCCCCATGTCGAATTCATAAGCAATTTGAGTGTCATTGCAAGTTTGGGGTTTGAAGCTTTCCTAATATCATACAGTTGTTGTATGACTTTTCCAACTGTATAGTTCCTTCCCGGGAACTCGCCATCTTCGTTTGGAATTCCAGTTGGAATATATTGGACAAACCTCATGTACGCAGCGTTAAGGTCAACATAGTATATCTTTTCGTTTGAGTCGAACTTGTCGCATCCAATCGGTCCAGTTCGTGGAAATTCAAGTGAGTCTCTTATCTTCTGAGAAACTTCTCCTGTTATCTCATAAACATCGTCAAAGCAACCTGTTTCATATAAAACCTTCTGACCTAACTCAGAAGCTCTCCAATACAATTTGACGTCGATTGGATGTCTCAATGGAAGTTTGTTTATAGCATCTTGAAGTTCTTGCAACCTCATTGGAAGTTCTTCTGGTTCAGGTTGGTATCCGAACAATCCAACTCCTTTTGGAGCTGTGTACTTCTTTTGTGCTAGAACTTTGTCTAGAACGACTTTTGTCTTACCAACAATGAAAAGTTTGTTTCGTCTTTTGGTACAAAAGTTTCTGTCAGCTTGTCATCTGGAATTGGTTCCAACAAACCTTTCTCGAAAAGAATGTTAACAGCTCTGACAATGTTGCACTTACCTTTTCCGAACAATGGGTTTGTAAGACTTTCGTTCAACATGAAGTGGTTGTGGACAATTGCAATCTTCAACCATGGTAAATTGAACTCAACAACATAGTCGTCATGTGAAGAACCTTTAGCTGTAGGTATGTTGACTCGGATATTGACATTTGCCAACGGTGCAATTTTTGCCAATTGACCTCTGAGAATGTACCTTGTCTTCACACATGACTCAAGGTACTTCATCTTCTCTTCTGTAACAAGACCAGAGTTCCTGAGACATGTAAGAATGCAAGGTTCATTGACAATTGTTTCAATTGAATTGTAAATTCCATACCTTGTCAAGTCAATGTCAGACTTATTTATGAACGGGAAGTATCCAGCATGTTGTCTGACTGCTTGAGGGTTAGGTTGGTACCATTCGAACTTGACACTTGCAATTCCTTCAATTGCATTTAAGATGTCTGAGTCGGAGTCATACATTTGTTCTCTCTTTGTAGTCTTGAAAGCGTCAAGAAGTTGTGCGGCTGTTGTGACATTGCCATGTGCATAGTAAATGTGACCATCCAAATCTGTTATGGTCAATCTGAGATTGTATCCTTTCTTATTTCCGTCTTGTATGGCAGCAAGTACACCCATGAAGCCTTCTTTGTTCTTTCCTTCGTCAAAGTTTACTGTAAAGGTTCGACCAGATGTAATTTGACTTCTAACTTCACGATACTTTTCATATGCATATCTTGTTCTTTCCATGGGAGCATGTGCGTCTTCACCTTTTCCTTTTTTCCTTCTCAAAGGATGCAATTGTTCGTCATGTTTCCAGTAGAATCTGGCAAAGCCGTCGTGTCCTTCAACTTGAGGTTCACTAACATCGAAAGGCATGTCCATAAGACGTTCTTCTTCTAACCTCTCTAGTCTGTTTGGATAATTTGCACGTGCTGTTTCCAAATCCATTTCGTAGCGAAGACCAGCCAGTTTGTCATAGACTTTTATGGGTCTTCCCTTCCTATATTTAAAATTCTTCGAAATCTCCAACCATATCTTTGCAACTCTGCTTTTATTCTAGCAGACTTTCTATCCATTCTATATGGGGGCATTTTTATAAAAATAAAAAAATGTTTTTTCTTTACTTTACATAACGCCTGCTGCCATAAGTCTTTGGACGCCCAACCCATACCAGCTAATGAAGGTTGACTTGGTTTAGTTTGGAAACTAAACTTTGTTTTGGTTTATCTTCAGTTTTTGGTTTTTCTTCTTCTATCGGTTTTTCGTCACTTTTCGGTTCCTCTGACTTTACTTCACTTGCAGGAACAGTTGTGTCGTCAACATCTTCATAAATATCATATGCCATTTGTTTTTGTTTTCCTTTCAACTTTTGTGTTTGTTGTAAAGTTTAGAATATTTCGACTCTAAGTCAATGAGATGTTCTATAATGAACTGTTGGTCAGTGAAGTAAACTTTTCCATCTGTTGTCTCGAAAGCTCCTTCAGACTTCAATATTTTATTTGTGAGAGTCTGTTTCTTTTTTGAGATACTAGCCGTTCCATTTCTATGAAAAAGTGACTTTTGTAGTTAGGGTTTGTATTTCCAGACCTGGCACTTTCTATTATTGAATTTTTCTCTTCATCTGTAAGTTCTTTGACAGTTTTGACAATGGTTCTGAACTTTTTGTTTGTGGTGTCAAATCTACCGTTTCAACTTCTTCGGTCATTTCATCTCAGTAAAAAATTTAGTTTGGTTTGTTTTCAACTGGTTGTTTAGGTTTTTAAGTCGGTCTAAAACTTCTTGAGGTATAGGAAGAACTTGACAAAACACGTGGTTGTGTAACTGCTGGAAGCCGACAAATCCATCTTGAGCCCATTTGTTCTCAATGTTTGTTCATTTCATCTCAGTAAAAAAATTACATTCCCCACGTTTGAGGCGGTTGCGGTTGGTTGTTGTTTACCCACTGTTGTGCATGGTTATATCCTCTGTTAAAGAATTCTTTCACCTTGGTCCATGTAGTGCCCTGCTTGGTTATAGTAGTCATTGCTTTGTTATAGTAGTTTCCTGCTTGTCTTCCTACATTGTCCATCCATCCTTGAACTTTTCCTCTTGTTTCAGGATTGGAATAGATTTGCTGCATCTCGTGCTACATCCCAACCTTTCTGTACAGTTTGTATAATAGGTTGTGCTTTCTCTTTAAGTATACCTAATGTACTCAAAATCTTCCTTCCAACTCCAAATACACCTCTGGCTATTGTTCCCACTGCGGGCAAAAATCTGGATGCAACTCCTGCTAATGCGCCAAATAAACCCATTTCTTATGGGTTAAAAAATGACGAATCCAAACAAGGACCCCTATGTTTCTAAGGCAACAAAAAAAGCACTCATGATAAAAATCTTTAGTTCAACACCAAATGCTTGGTTTATGGATATCTTGGAAAACATTCCGAGGTATAGAGAAGATGGACCACCATACTGGCTAATATTGTCGGTCAAAACACAAGATACTGTGAAGCCATACCATTACAGTCCAAAAATATTTTAGATGTGAAAACTGCTTTGACAATATTCGTTGACAAATACCATCCAACAAAACTGACATCTGACTGTGAAAGTTCTTTCAAATCAGACGATATTAAAAACTATCTGCGTTCAAAAAATGTAAACCAATATTTCATTGTCGACCAAAACCATTCTGCTCTTGGTGTCATTGACAGTTGTATAAAAATCTTAAGAGACTTAAACCAACCACAAGGTGGTGAAGCAAATGAAATGTCATATGACGACAAATATAGACATTTCTCCATGGCAAAGATGAGACAAGTTTTAAATATTTACAATAACCGTAAACAAAAAGGTTTGGGAAACCACTCCCCCGAAGAAATGAAAAACAACCCTGACTTAGAGAAAGACTATATATTTAATAGTTTAGTCAAAAGAGACAAACAAGAAAGAATGCCAGGCTTCAAACTTAAGAAAGGTGACAAAGTAAAAATAGAAATACCTAAACGCGACCCATATGAAAATACTATTGACTATGACAACAATGGGAACCCGACAGGTACTCACCTTCGTGTTCGTAAAAATAGAAGAAAGTATACAAGAGAATATTATGAAGTTTTAGGCAAACATGGCAAAATGTACAGACTGCAAGCAGAAGATAAAACTACTATTGTCAGACCTCGTTTCAAACTTGTCAAAGTTCAAGGTGGTATACTTTCAAAGACAGTTCCTAACAAATATAAGACAACTCCTGACGAATATGCTAAAGAAGTTGAAAATGACGACTAAGCAATTCTATACCATGCGTAAACTGTCATGTAAGGTGGCATGTAGTCTTTACTTTGTCCCGTTGTTTGTGTATACCCTGAAACGAAATGTGTATGGTTTCCTTCTCCCTGAGTGTCATCCCAGTAACAATTTATAGCAAACTTAACGTCGTCTTTAACATCATATCCTTTACCTTTTGTCATTCCTGACCAATCCCAATATCTATGCCTATGCCAACCTGCTTGAGATGTACTTAAATCTATGTAGTGACTGTGCGCAGGTAAGTTTTCACCTGAAATCGTTTTACTTCCACCTGTTTCCTTTGAAGAGTTTGCACAATACAAAAACCTGTCGACTATTTGTTCCCATGCACCAACACCAAACATTACTTGAGGACCTCTTGCTTCCATAGATGTATAAATAGAACCTACTGGGTTCATTAAATCAAACATATGAGATATTATAGGATTGTCTCTTTTGAACTTAAAATATAGTGCAACTATTTCAGGTTTCTTCTGGTTTGTGTCAGAATATTTTTTATAATATAATCTTATGTTTTCAGGGTAGGTAAAGTCTTGACTATAATATTTATTTCTGTCATCTTCATAATAGTATACTATTCTCGTTTTTTCTATTGCATTATATCTTTTATATCTATAAAAATCTAAATATAATGTTAGCTTTTGTTCATCTACATGTGGTGTTCTAACGTCATCTCCATAGTCATAATAGTATGGTGCTGGAGCTGGGTCAGGTAATGTCATATCTGCCATTTCATAAACTCTTAAATATTTCTTTTGTTCGTCTCCATATATGTTTAAGTAGCAGTTGTTGTCTAATGGAACTTTAACTTGTGTACCATCATTCTTTATATAGCTTACATACATTTCATTGTTATTTTTCGGAATGAGTTTATACCGTGTACCATTTTCTAAGGAATGTACAAACTGCCATCTAAAATATTTGTTTTCTTCATTGACAGAAAAGTCACCAACCATAGTCTCAATATTTTTTGTTCCAACTAAACTTTGGTATATTTCATTGACATATGTTTTATCTGCTTTCTTTTCAAGGCTAACGTTTAAGTCTGTTATTTCAGAAGATGTATGTGTATGTCCAACGGCACTTTTCCTGTTTAAGGTTTCTTGTAAGTTTGTAATATTTGCAATGGTATGTGTATGTCCAACGTCACTTTTCCTGTTTAAGGTTTCTTGTAAGTTTGTAATATTTGCAATGGTATGTGTATGTCCAACGGCACTTTTCCTGTTTAAGGTTTCTTGTAAGTTTGTAATATTTGCAATGGTATGTGTATGTCCAACGTCACTTTTCCTGTTTAAGGTTTCTTGTAAGTTTGTAATATTTGCAATGGTATGTGTATGTCCAACGGCACTTTTCCTGTTTAAGGTTTCTTGTAAGTTTGTAATATTTGCAATGGTATGTGTATGTCCAACGTCACTTTTCCTGTTTAAGGTTTCTTGTAAGTTTGTAATATTTGCAATGGTATGTGTATGAGTCTTTTTAGAATATTCTTTGTCAGCTCTTGTCACTTCACTTGACATTTTATTGTCAACATATGTTTTGTCCGCTAGTTCAGGATGAGTATGTTCTTTTGTTGCATATGTTGCATCTGCTCTGTCATGTTCTTCTTGAACTTTTTCAATGACATACTCTTTGTCAGCTTTGTTGTCAACATCTGCTTTCAAAAGAAGTTCTTTTATAGGTTTCTCGTTTAAAGTTCCTTTTGTTGGATTTACACAGACAGTATGGTTCTTATTGTCTTGAAACAGAAACTCGTCTGTCATTGGGTTTATCGTCAGTTTTAAGTTTCCTTCTTTCAATGACTCAGATATCTTAGAATAGTTTGAAAAGTTTGTTGTGTTCTTATTTAGAGCTTGCAAAATGAGTTGTCGGTTGTGTTTTATTTCTCTCATAGACGCTGTTTCATTTGACATTTTTATTCTAGATAAAATATGCTTTCAATAGAAAAAGAAAATTCTAGAGTTGCTACAACTAAACCATTAGATGAACTTTTTACGAATGTCGGTCAAAAGTTTGAGACAGAGACCGTAAAGCATGAAGGCTATCGTTTTGACTACCCGTTAAGATGGCTAAGAGACCCATCCGTCACAAAAGCTATTGGCTTTCGTAGAATGAAATTCATTTCAGAAGCCATACATGGTTTCCCATTTACGGTCGCTTTTGAAATTCGATACTATAACAAAGAGAAACGTACGTATGAGAAATTTGAACAGGGAAAACTTTTACAAGTTAGTTTGCTTGTAAACTTAGAAACAACTCTTCAAGCTTTTCAAGAAAAAATAAACGATATCTATCTCGAATATGCAAAACAGTACAACATTGACGAAGGAGAGTACCATCTCGATATTTTATATGACAGGAAAAATGCAACTGTTAAAATCGATAGAATAGAAGACCTTGGAGAAGACGTTTATATTTCTACAAAATATAACAACTTGGCATGGTATAGATTTTTTGAGGATGTTAAATCAGCCTGCAGAATATCCAGTACACCCGAACTTTTATGAAGTCGAAAACCCTAATGGAACATATGAAAATGTTTTCGACCCAGATGCTATTATCGTTCATGCTTCATTTTCTGGCGCCCAAAACTCTTTTTTATGCTTGGCAAATGACTTTTACGAAAAACCTACAAAGCTATATGAACCACCGAGTGGAAGTATTTCAGACTTTCAAGTATGGTTTACAACAGATGGAAGAAAGAGAATAGTTCCATTATACCATGCGTTTTACTTAGAACTTAGTCTCATATACAACTACTATCGAACAGTAAAAATATAATTTTTAATACGGTTGAGGTGTTGGATTTGGTTGCCAACTAGACTGTGGTGCAGGTTCAGGCTGTTGTATAACAGGAGCTTGTTCTTCTGGTTCAGGGTCTTTAGGTATAATACCAACGAACTGACCTACTCTTTTACCAATATTTTTGACTCCGTTCCAAATTCCTCTTCCTACGGTTTTTATTCCATTCCATATACCTCTTCCAACATTTCGAAAGAAGTTTCCAATACTACTGAAGAAACCCATTTTACTATATGTAAAAATCTAATGTCCACCTAGTCTCTTACGTTTCCTTCTGAGTTCCATTGCATTCTTTAACTGGAGCTCATACATTCTATTTCTCCTCTGGTAGAAAACATATTCTGGGTCAACTCCTGTGTTCGCGTCATCTGCATAGAGTTGTTTATATCCCACTTCAGGGTTTGTATAAAAACTCTTTCCATCTCATATTTGCATACCATGGTGGCAAACCTAACGCAGCGTCATTTGACATGGCAGTTTGCATTTGTACATCTGTTGGCACTTGACCATAGTTTGCCATTGCAGTTTGTATTCTAACTTCATTTGGAATATTCTCTGGGTTTGGTTGTCCAGGTTGCTGTGCATTCGCTAAGTTCTGTGCGTCCATTTAATATTAGATAAAAATATCTCTTACGAGTACATATACTGGACATTTGCAGGCATTGGTTCATCTTCATATTCTCTATATCTTTCTGCCACGTCAAATAAGTAAATGACACAATGGAAAAAACCTAAAACAAGTAGTCCTATTTCAAACCACATTTACTTACTAATAAAATTTCTTTGTTATGACACTTTCTCCAGTTTATAGGACCTCTCTCATATTCTATCTTGTCATATATAAACTCATAGTCATGTATGTCCTCTAACCATCTCATAACGGTTTCCAAACCACTTTTATCGGATGTAAAGTAAAAGCATGGATGGTTATGTAAAACGTCTAAAGTTTCTAAAGAGTCTCTCAAAGTCCAGTCTACTTGGTATTGAAAATCCCATGTGTTATAGAACGGCGGGTCCACTATAAAGAAAACATTTTCCTTGTCTTTATATTTTTCATACAACTCTGTCCAATAACATCTCACAAACTCTATACCCTCAATATATTTTTCTATGTCCTCTTTGAAAACATTTGTATAGTTAAGATATAAAACTTTTGACATAAGTGTTTCAATGTCATGAACTCTTATAGCACCACTATATAATAGTCTAGAAGATATACTATCCCAGTCAATATACTCTGCTTTTTTCAAAACCTCTCTGACAGTATTTTTCTTATCTAATGGTATACGTTCCATCTTACCTATAGGTATCTTTTCTTTTAACTCTTTCAATATTTTGTTTGTGTCTGGTATATGTTTGAGACGGTTCATATAGTTGTCGAAGTCATTGCATATAATCTTTGAGTCAGGAAATACAGTATGGCACAAATGAGATATATAGAAACTTCCACCGAACAAATCTACAAATGTTAGACCATTCGGTAGTTTCTTAAGTTCTCTCAATAGAATATCTTTACATCTACTCTTATTTCCAAAGAAGGGTAACGGTGGTTTTGTAAAATTCATTTTATATATATATAATAAAAATGTTTTTTCCTGAAAAGTGACAGAAAAGTGACAAAACATGAAAACATATATATTTTGTGAAAAGCTCCTGGAAGACCCGTATATAAAAACCTCATTTTTTACTAAACATCTTCAGGGCTAGAAGGGGCGCAGCCCCTGGAAGCCCCACTACCTTTTTTTTTTTTTTTTTTTTTTTTTTATTATAAAAAAGAAAAAACAAAGCACGTTAAAATTTTTCTTTCTTGATTTTTTACAAAATCTACTTAGAATTATGCAAAATATGACTAAATAATTATAAATTTCAAGTTAAATTTTAATTTTGATAAATAATTTAAATTTCAAAATATCAAGTTCAGTTCGACTATGTATGTAGTAATTCCTCAATAAAGTGCCAAAACCCTATTAAAATATATGAACATTTTCAACATTTTAATGTTTTTATTTAAAAATTTGATGGAATATGAGCTTCAAACAATTATTATGTAAATAAAAATAATTAAATATATGTATTTATTCGTATTACAACCGTAGTAAGTCGATTCTTCCTTTCTTCTACTGAGGTTTGAATTTGATTTCGAATTGTAAAGAGATTCAAAGGGAAAATACTAGCGGATAAAAACTACCTCCATGAAAGGGTCATAATGGACTCAAGTTGTATTTTTTGATATTTTTTGCTTTTCGAGCCTAAATAGGTAGCCAAGATAATGCCTAAAAATAAGGTTCTAAATTCTGAAGTTTACATGATCCTCTCGTGTGCACCCTTAACAATTTTCATTTTTTTCTTTTAACAATTTCGTTTTATTTCCATTTATTGTTAAATGATTTTTAGCATACACCTTTCTTTGTTCATCTTCTAAATACAATTTATTTTTTCTTAGATATAATTCTATTCATTCAATTCGATCGTAATTTTTCAGTACATGATCGTAATTTTCAATTATTGATCGCGATTTTACTTCAGAATTTGTTCGCAATATTGCTTATCAAAATTATATCTCTATTCTCTCATTTCTGTTTAGTCAATATCATTACACTCCTATTGTCTAATAACATGCTATTAATTTTCTTAAAATTAAAAAAAATATCAACTTTTAAAAACAGAAACTTAACATCCTTAGGTCAATGGATTTTGATGTGAGATACATTTAATCTGTTTTTCTTTTTTTATTTTAAATAATTGAATATTTATAGTTGTTATGGGTCTTACATCATGTAAAACGAATTTTCTTAAAGTAAATTTACTTTTTCTTCAATCTTTCTTACATATTTATTAAAAAAAAATTATCCAAAAAAAGATGTTTTAGAATGAAAAAAATAGAAAAATCTTCATTTATAGTCTTTCTTGAATGTATACGTTTTGATTTTTTTCTTTTTTAAAAAATTCAATTTCTAGAAAAATCGAGAAAAAATCATTTTCTTCTATTTTTTTAGGACGCCATACCCATTGAAATCTCCTCTCAGGACGCCATAAACTATTCAATTATGGTGTAAACTTCTCAAAAATTGAATAGTTTACATCAGGACGCCTTAGGACGCCAACCCTTTACGCGCCCAATTATATTATATCAAATTTAATTTTTTTGCCTAAAGAATTGTTGCAAGTATATACATCCACGCTAAAGATCATTAGACTTTATTTATTTCACTCTGACAAAAAGCTTCATGACAGGCTTGTTTATTATTTACCGTCGTGAAATGTGCAATAATCTTTAATTCAATTTTGAAGCCCAAACAAATTATTCCCCAAATAATATTATCTGTATAAGTAACATAGAGTCAAAAAAAAAAGTTAAAATATTTTTTTACCAGAACTTAAGCTTAGACACGAGACCTTTCTTCTTAAGCTTACCCTCTAGAGAAGGATACTGTAAGTAGTCACCTGCAAGATCGAAGATCATTGGCTTTGGAGTGACGACCTTTGCCTTCGGAGGAACAGTGACGAGTGTATCGCATGGGGAGTAGCTCTTCTGGTCCTCGAGGAATGGTCTCTGTACTGAATTCGACTGATCTTTCTTAAGACCGTTGATTGCGGCAACGGCTTCGATACGAGCGACACGTATTTTATGGAGGATTCTCTCTGCCCAGCCCTTGAGTGTTGGTGGATCTTCGATTGACTCGTTTGTGATCAAATCAAGTGCTTTAGTAGCATGATTCTGAGCGCGCTGTAACATAGTGATGGTCTCCGAGCCGGACTTAGCCTCGCCAATGTAGTAGCATTTGATGGCGTGCCAAAGATATTCGTATGACTCGATAGTGACGTCGCCTTCGAATTGTGGACGTAATTCGACAACTCTTGTGAATGTACGGCCAGCAAATTCAGCGCGTTCGGCTGCTGTATTGAATGTATTGATGAGAGCGTGAGATCTTTCGAGAGTAGCAACGAAACTGTTCCAGCGGAGGAAGAGATCGAGACGTGCGAGGTCATCGTTTGTATTTTGTGCGGAGAGAGTATGAATAACTTGGCGGGCACCATGGGATTCTGCGATAAGACGATCGAAGATTGTAACACGGATTTCTTCGTTGGAGATTTCGGATTGTGAGTCTTTGATCAAGTCGAGGATACTGGCCAATTTCGTCTTGAGGCCTTCGTGGTTGATCGGGATTGTCCAGTTACGCCATTTGACTTCGCTGACCTTGCGTGTAGACGACATTGCGTTGATGCTGACGATGCTCTTGACTTTCTCCTTGATTTCGGCAGAGGCTGTGATGTTTTCGGAATCGCCAAGATTGTAACGGCAGAAGACAAGAAGTGGCTCAATATCTTCCGTAATATCATGGCAGTGGTTGGCAAGATTCGAATCGCCTGTACTTTGGCCGAGTTCTTTGAATGTGGCTGAAACTTCAATGAACTTCTTGAGAGCTTCGGACCAATGACCAAGCTCAAGAGCAAGTGTGGCTTGAGCGTAATTGTAAAAAGCGGTAACCTCAAGCTGTGTTGTTTCAGTGCCGAACGTCTTTGCTGCTTCATTTGCACGGTTCCACCAGACAAGTGATTTACGAAGTCTGCGAAGAGCGTGCTGGCGGCGTTGGCCGGCTGTGGCGCTGCCTTTAAGATCACGGTATCTGGCCCAAGCACCATCTGCTTGTAAAACAAGTAATTCGATATGTTGTGGGTTTTGATATCTGTCTGGTGTTAAATCAAAATCTTTTCCACCCTTGATTCCTAATTTAGAACGAATTTTTGCGCATCTACGATTGCAATATTGAGAATAGCGGAGGAATTGATTATCTGGAACACCGTATGTTCTCTGCTTGCCACGAATTAAGTTTGTGACTTGGAGTTCTGAGCGAACTATTTCAACTGGTGCTGCTGGAGCTGGATTTTCTTCACTCATTTTTTTAGCCAGACAAATTGGCAGAAATGCAGATTAAAAAAAAGCGAAATAAAAAAAAAAAAAAAAAAAAAAAAAAAAGGGAGTGGGGCTTCCAGGCACTTCGTGCCTTCTAGCCCTGAAGATGTTTAGTATAAATGAAGTTCTTATATACGGGTCTTCCAGGAGCTTTTCACAAATTATATATGTTTTCATGTTTTGTCAAGACTTCTTCGTAAAATCAGACAAAAATAATGTTTAGGGTAGAAGGTTAGATATAACCTCTTTTCTAACCTCTTTTCTACCCTCTTGAATTTTCAAGACTTCTTCGTACATGTTTTGTCACTTTTCTGTCACTTTTCAGGAAAAAACATTTTTATTGTATATAAAATGAATTTTACAAAACCACCGTTACCCTTCTTTGGAAATAAGAGTAGATGTAAAGATATTCTATTGAGAGAACTTAAGAAACTACCGAATGGTCTAACATTTGTAGACTTGTTCGGTGGAAGTTTCTATATATCTCATTTGTGCCATACAATATTTCCTGACTCAAAGATTATATGCAATGACTTCGACAACTATATGAACCGTCTCAAACATATACCAGACACAAACAAAATATTGAAAGAGTTAAAAGAAAAGATACCTATAGGTAAGATGGAACGTATACCATTAGATAAGAAAAATACTGTCAGAGAGGTTTTGAAAAAGGCAGAGTATATTGACTGGGATAGTATATCTGCTAGACTATTATATAGTGGTGCTATAAGAGTTCATGACATTGAAACACTTATGTCAAAAGTTTTATATCTTAACTATACAAATGTTTTCAAAGAGAACATAGAAAAATATATTGAGGGTATAGAGTTTGTGAGATGTCATTGGACAGAGTTGTATGAAAAATATAAAGACAAGGAAAATGTTTTCTTTATAGTGGACCCGCCGTTCTATAACACATGGGATTTTCAATACCAAGTAGACTGGACTTTGAGAGACTCTTTAGAAACTTTAGACGTTTTACATAACCATCCATGCTTTTACTTTACATCCGATAAAAGTGGTTTGGAAAGTGTCATGAGATGGTTAGAGGACATACATGACTATGAGTTTAGATACGATAAGATAGAATATGAGAGAGGTCCTATAAACTGGAGAAAGTGTCACAACAAAGAAATTTTATTGGTAAGTAAATGTGGTTTGAAATAGGACTACTTGTTTTAGGTTTTTTCCATTGTGTCATTTACTTATTTGACGTGGCAGAAAGGTACAGAGAATATGAAGATGAACCAATACCAGCAAATGTTCAGCATATGTACTCGTAAGAGATATTTTTATCTAATATTAAATGGACGCACAGAACTTAGCGAATGCACAGCAACCTGGACAACCAAACCCAGAGAATATTCCAAATGAAGTTAGAATACAAACTGCAATGGCAAACTATGGTCAAGTGCCAACAGATGTACAAATGCAAACTGCCATGTCAAATGACGCTGCGTTAGGCTTACCACCATGGTATGCAAATATGAGATGGAAAGAGTTTTATACAAACCCTGAAGTGGGATATAAACAACTCTATGCAGATGACGCGAACACAGGAGTTGACCCAGAATATGTTTTCTACCAGAGGAGAAACAGAATGTATGAGCTCCAGTTAAAGAATGCTATGGAACTCAACAGGAAACGTAAGAGACTAGGCGGACATTAGATTTTTACATATAGTAAAATGGGTTTCTTCAGTAAGATAGGAAACTTCTTTCGAAATGTTGGAAGAGGTATATGGAATGGAATAAAAACCGTAGGAAGAGGAATTTGGAACGGTGTCAAAAATATTGGTAAAAGAGTAGGTCAGTTCGTTGGTATTATACCCAAAGACCCTGAACCAGAAGAGCAAGCTCCTGTTATACAACAGCCTGAACCTGCACCACAGTCTAGTTGGCAACCAAATCCAACACCTCAACCGTATTAAAAAATTATATTTTATCGTTCGATAGTAGTTGTATATGAAACTAAGTTCTAAGTAAAACGCATGGTATAATGGAATTATTCTTTTTCTTCCATCTGTAGTAAACCATACTTGAAAGTCTGAAATACTTCCACTTGGTGGTTCGTATAACTTTGTAGGTTTTTCGTAAAAGTCATTTGCCAAGCATAAGAAAGAGTTTTGGGCGCCAGAAAATGAAGCATGAACAATAATAGCAGCTGGGTCGAAAACATCTTTAAATAAATATGGTTCATCTCTTGCATATCGACTGTAAATATTTGCTAAAGGAAGTTCGACTTTCTGATTTAACATTCTTTGCAAATAATACCATGACATTGCAGTGAATTCTGTAATTTATTGTTCGTCTTTCTTTGGATTGTCTTCGTAGATTTGAAATGACACTTGTGAATTTTGTTTGTCATATACAATTCTCACATAAAGTGTGCTCTCGGTATTTGCATATTCATCAGCATATTTTGCATAACATGAATTTATTTTATCTTCTATATTTTTTAACGCAGTCTGTAGAGAAGATGAAAGGTCAACTTGTATTAGCTCAATTTCTTCCCACATTTTTCGTTTCCCTTCAGATATATAATCTATATGAAACCTTACAATAAATGGAAAACTTTTATCTTCTACAGACACAAATTTTATTCTTCGAAAGCCAATAGCTTTTGTGACAGATGGGTCTCTTAGCCATCTTAATGGGTAGTCAAAACGATAGCCTTCATGCTTTACGGTCTCTGTCTCAAACTTTTGACCGACATTAGTAAAAAGTTCATCTAATGGTTTAGTTGTAGCAACTCTTGAATTTTCTTTTTCTATTGGAAGCATATTTTATCTAGAATAAAAATGTCGAAAGATATTGCTTCCATGAGAGAAATACAACACAACCGACAACTCATTATGCAAGCCCTAAATAAGAACACAACAAACTTTTCAAACTATTCTAAGATATCTGAGTCATTGAAAGAAGGAAACTTAAAACTGACATTAAACCCAATGACAGATGAGTTTCTGTTTCAAGACAATAAGAACCATACTGTCTGTATAAATCCAACAAAAGGAACTTTAAACGAGAAACCTATAAATGAACTTCTTTTGAAAACAGATGTTGACAACAAAGCTGACAAAGAATATGTAGACGATGCAATAGCAAAAGAAGAAGAAAGAGCTAACAATGCTTATGCAACAAAAGAACATACTCATCCTGAACTAGCAGACAAAACATATGTTGACAATAAAATGTCAAGTGAAGTGACAAGAGCTGAAAACGAATATTCTAAAAAGACTCATACACATTCTATATCTGATATTACAAACTTACAAGAAACCTTAAACAGGAAAAGTGCCGTTGGACATACACATACATCTTCTGAAATAACAGACTTAAACGTTAGCCTTGAAAAGAAAGCAGATAAAACATATGTCAATGAAATATACCAAAGTTTAGTTGGAACAAAAAATATTGAGACTATGGTTGGTGACTTTTCTGTCAATGAAGAAAATAAATATTTTAGATGGCAGTTGGTACACTCCTTAAAAAATGGTATACGGTATAAACTCATTCCGAAAAATAACAATGAAATGTATGTAAGCTATAAAAAGAATGATGGTACACAAGTTAAAGTTCCATTAGACAACAACTGCTACTTAAACTTATATGGAGACGAACAAAAGAAATATTTAAGAGTTTATGAAATGGCAGATATGACATTGCCTGACCCATCTCCAGTACCACATTATTATGACTATGGTGTTGACGCACGTGTAGACCCAAAAAAGCAAACATTATATTTAGAATATTATAGATATAAAAGATATAATGCAATAGAAAAAACGAGAATAGTATACTATTATGAAGATGACAGAAATAAATATTATAGTCAAGATTTTACCCACCCTGAAAACATAAGATTATATTATAAAAAATATTCTGACACAAACCAGAAGAAACCTGAAATAGTTGCACTATATTTTAAGTTCAAAAGAGACAATCCTATAATATCTCATATGTTTGATTTAATGAACCCAGTAGGTTCTATTTATACATCTATGGAAGCAAGAGGTCCTCAAGTAATGTTTGGTGTTGGTGCATGGGAACAAATAGTCGACAGGTTTTTGTATTGTGCAAACTCTTCAAAGGAAACAGGTGGAAGTAAAACGATTTCAGGTGAAAATTTACCTGCACACAGTCACTACATAGATTTAAGTACATCTCAAGCAGGTTGGCATAAGCATAAATTTTGGATTGGCACGCCTTGAAAAAAGGTAAAGGATATGATGTTAAAGACGACGTTCAGTTTGCTATAAATTGTTACTGGAGTGACACTCAGGGAGATGGAAACCATACACATCGCGTTTCAGGATATACGCAAACAACGGGACAAAGTAAAGAATACATGCCACCTTACATGACAGTTTACGCATGGTATAGAATTGCTTAGTCGTCATTTTCAACTTCTTTAGCATATTCGTCAGCAGTTGTCTTATATTTGTTAGGAACTGTCTTTGAAAGTATACCACCTTGAACTTTGACAAGTTTGAAACGAGGTCTGACAATAGTAGTTTTATCTTCTGCTTGCAGTCTGTACATTTTGCCATGTTTGCCTAAAACTTCATAATATTCTCTTGTATACTTTCTTCTATTTTTACGAACACGAATGCGAGTACCTGTCGAGTTCCCATTGTTGTCATAGTCAATAGTATTTTCATATGGGTCGCGTTTAGGTATTTCTATTTTTACTTTGTCACCTTTCTGAAGTTTGAAGCCTGGCATTCTTTCTTGTTTGTCTCTTTTGACTAAACTATTAAATATATAGTCTTTCTCTAAGTCAGGGTTGTTTTTCATTTCTTCAGGGGAATGGTTTCCCAAACCTTTTTGTTTACGGCTATTGTAAATATTTAAAACTTGTCTCATCTTTGCCATGGAGAAGTGTTCTGTACTTGTCGTCATATGACATTTCATCTACCTCACCACCTTGTGGTTGGTTTAAGTCTCTTAAGATTTTTATACAACTGTCAATGACACCAA